GTTATATTTTATGTGCAATGTATTCAAGGCCAAAAGATATCTTAACAAGGTATTACCAGAGAAACGAAAAAGATGACCAGGATTTAGATTTCTCAAATAAAATAATCAAGAGTTGATTTGAAGGAATAGTTTGTTTGTGAGACGATGATTAAGAAATCTATGATTATAAGATAGTCATATATGTGGAGGCCATCCCTACCTTAAGCTTTTGACCACGATATAATTTCTCCCCTAACATATGATTTAACAATATCAAAGCCCTAGACAAAGCTAGCAGCCATCAGGTTCCCACAATTAATCTGGCCCGTATTAATGGTAGGGTTGCTGAGAAGAATCTCACATCTCAAGATTGGTAAAATCAACATAGGGACCTAAAGTGTAAAAGAAGCTTTTTTACAAGTTGTAATTGAGGTTTCAAGCTACGAGTTGGGCTTAGCTAGAAAATTCGATTCCCAACTTAGCCAGAACCTGACTCAATCCAGCCCATCCAACAATTTATGTGTGTGTGTTGTAATTCAAGTCCCTTACATTAGTATATATTATTGTGTATTACGTTATGCATTTTTATTTATATAAAAATATTTCTATTTATATATCTACATGTATATGTGTGTGTGTGTGTAAGTTATGTATATATGCATTTATTAATGGCAATTGTACATATTATCAATCTAGTCTAGCTAGAAATCGGACTACAAAGCCCAATATGTCTGAGGCTATGAGCCTAAGCCCATCTCGAGATGTATTGGGTTAAGTTTGAGTTAGGCCTGGGTTGGTAAACTCATAGCTTGATCTCAAGTTGGGCCAAGCCCAAAGTTGAGGTTTGAAACTTAGGGTTATGCTTGTTGACCTACAACCTGACCCAACTTGACCCAACCCACCTAAGTTGCACCCATATAAAAATGCCTTATGACTGATTTAGTCCAAAAATGAGGTCGACAAGCAACAGATGAAATCCTATCAATTTTGACAAGCCAAGGTGAAAGAATGAAATGGTGCATCGAGCAAAACCTACAACCAAAGCGTGGTCAGAGGTCCTTAGGGAAGCATTCCAACTTTCGAATTAGTAAGAAGTGAAAGAGTCGGTTGGGCCAAACAATAAAGGGCAAACTGGTCTGGGCCAAGTAGGGTTAAGGAAGCAAGAAAGCAAGGAGGCTAAGGGGTTCCAAAGATTAGAGAGTGAGAATTGCTTGAGGGGAGATGACTTTAAATAACCATGTTTCGTAGCTTACTGGGCTACGTTCCATGTCCCATGCGTCGTATTGCCGAAGAGGCCAAGGTCCACAATCTTTGAGGGTTTCGTACTCTTTGATGTGGGATGATTGGATGAGCTATAGCTTATCTACATGGGGTCTTCACTAGATGATGTGATCGCCTAGTCTGGCGCTGACCCTGAGCTGCTGATGTGGTCGAGGCTGTTGGACAAGGTGTGGCCACGTTAGCATCCACATGGTGAGCATYGGTGTCAAGGTACAACCCCAATAGTGACATTACTCACTAGATTGAACCAAACGAGTCCAACCCATGCATTACTTTTTTGTTATGTTTTATTAATTTTGTTATTCTTATGTTTGTTTTTAATTAATTTCAATTTAAAATTATTACTATTTTTGTTAACTTGTTTAACTTCTAGTAAACTTTTTTTAGCATTATTAATTGTTGTTATTTTAAATGAATTAGGGGATTTTTAACTAATAATAAGTGAATGTAAATCCAATATTTTTGTTACTCACTAGATTGAACCAAACGAGTCCAACCCATGCATTACTTTTTTGTTATGTTTTATTAATTTTGTTATTCTTATGTTCGTTTTTAATTAATTTCAATTCAAAATTATTACTATTTTTGTTAACTTGTTTAACTTCTAGTAAACTTTTTTTAGTGTTATTAATTGTTGTTATTTTAAATGAATTAGGGGATTTTTAACTAATAATAAGTGAATGTAAATCCAATATTTTTGTTAATTTTTTGAAATTTACCAACAAATTTATAGTATCATTTTATATTTTATATTTTACAAATGAAATTTAAATGGATATATTTTAATTAATTTTGAAACTAATATTTTTACTTTTTTTGTTTTATTTGTGGTAGGACTGCCGATGAACCAGAAATTACACTACAAGTGCAAGCAGACAGAACTGTACAATAAGACTAAAAGTTGGAAGGGTATCTTAGACATGACTCCATACCATTTTGGTTGGCCTCATTTTTTCTCAAGCCCAACCCAAAAAAGACAGGCCCAGCAGTACACGCAGATGTAGAGAATAAACACAGGCCCAATCCTACGTGGGCAATTAAAGTTCCACCCAACTGCATCACTATGTCACCTGACGTGTTGAATGTTCGTTTCAGAACAATATATAATTCTACCTATAACTATAGGATTCATTATAATACGAGCACCACGTCATCACAGTTTGACTTCCAGTTCTACTAGGTCGAACCTTTGACACGTAAACCTCTCCCTTCTTCGATTCTTTGCCCAGTCCGGTTCCTTGAACATTACACAAATCACAAAGCGCACTTCATACACTAAGGGTCTAAGAAAAAAATCCAAATTGATTGTAAGGGAATATCTCCCCATCAATGATAGTATAGAAGTAAGTGAGATATTCCCAATGTGTGGTAGCAAAGTGAGCATTGGTATGTAAGGAGTAAATCCAGATTCGTCTGAAATTCACATGAAGGCTTAGAATATTGATAGAATATTTTTTCATAAAGGGCACATTATATCTTTATTCATAGCCATGGATATGGGATGCACCATGATTATGTATCTATAAGTCGTGCATATTGGCACAATAGGCTTCCATATCAAGTCATATCACATTGTATCGATGGATACTGTCTAATATTCGGTGCTTAATTTGATGAAACTATGCATTGACCACTTTTAGATTGTTTTTGAAATTTAATAAAAATTAAAATAACTAATTTAAGATTTAATTTCCCCCCAAAAAAATAATAAGAACTAAAAGTCTAAAGTTATAAAAATAATTTATTGTATCGATGGATACAATATTGTATCCACATATGAATTATATATTAAAAAATGAAAACATATTTATTACTTGAAACTGTGTTTTATTTATATAAAAATACTAAATAAATAAATTATTCTAACAAAATTTATAAAAATTGAAAATACAATTATAACAGCTAAAATAATGTTCTAATTATAAAAATGAAATAAATAATTTTAATTTTAAATTTTTCAGAATTTTAATAACAACTAAAAATTATAAAAATAATTTATTTTATATATTTTAAATGATTTATTTGTTTTATTTTACAATTATATGTAAAATAAAATAACTATATGTTAAAAATGAAAGCATATTTATTATTTTAAAAAATACATTATTTATATAAATAGTAGATAAATAAAATTTATCAAAAAATTAATAAAAATTATAAGTGATGAATATTGTATGACATGTACATGTTTTAGAGCCCCATTATTTTGCAATGTTACTCTTCATATAACCTATTAAAATGTGAATTTCTCATGTATTTATACCTTATTCATAGACAATTCAGCTTTAGATTTAGTGTTATTAATGTGTTTATGTGATTTATATGTATTTCTAATGTTACGATATATTTCATTAGCATCAATGCCATATCTTTCATCTTTATCCATGTGATTCAAAAATGTATCCATATTTACATTATCCATTAGAATACCATATTTTAGGTTCAATTTGGAAGGAGTACAAATACAAATAGAGGCCTTAAAAAAATACAAATATAGAGCGCAAAACCTTATATTATTTTGTATGTATTTATACTATACATATATGCAAGGAATAAAGTATCGATACACTATACTCGATACAGGGTGTATCGCATCCGTATCCATGTTCACTGACACAAGATACGCTACAATTCTATACATATCCTACCAATTGTGTGTATTGGCACAATATGCCACTGTATCAGTGTGTATATCAATGGATATGACTCAATACTCACCGATATGGAGGCATATTGGACCCTAATTTGACGACATATTCAAACCTTAATTTAAAATTTAATTTTCCCTAAAAACTTAATAAGAATTGAAAATTATAAAGTTAATTTGTTTTATTTATCTTAAATAATGTATATATTTTATTTTACATATAAATTATATTTTAAAATGAAAACATATTTATTATTTAGAAAATAGAATTATTATTTAAATAAAATTTCCCAAAAAAAATTAATAAAAAATGAAAATTATAATTATAAAACTGAACTAAATAATTTAAGAGTTAGTTTCCCCCAAAATTTTGATAAAAACAAAAAAGTATAAAATAATTTATTTTATCTATCTTAAATGATTTATATGTTTTATTTTAAAATTATATGTAAAATAAACATTTTGTATGTTAAAAATAAAAATATATTTGTTGTTCTAAAAAATAGGGATTATTTATATATAAAAGTACTAAATAAAAAATATCCCCAAAAAATTAATAAAAGTTGAAAATTATAATTATAAAAACTAAAATAGAATGATAATTATATACATCTTCTAAAGTCCTAGTATTGTTTCTCTTCATATAACTATTAAAGTATATATTTTTCATATATTTATATCTTATTCATAATTAATTTAGCTTTAAATTTAGTTTATCATTCTGTTAATATATCCAAATATTTTCATATGTTTCATCCGTATCTTCCAAAACTTATCTATGCCTTCCCAATTGTCTGATACGTATTCAATACGTATATTTTAATCCTTGCATGTATGTATTTGTAATCTTTCCAAAGTGATCGTTAATTTGAAGAAACGGTGCGAGCTCGCCACTTCCCAATTAGTAACGACCTACGCCCACCACATGTACGGTAAAATACAAAAGAAACGTGGCAAACAGGTGTGCGTGTAACGACGAGCGTCGTTTTGTTCGGCGCTCAAGAATTAAAATGAGATGATATGATAATGATCAAAGATGTTTTCAATGCACGGCGGAGATATATTGTGAGACGGTGTGGGGACAATCTTACGGGGGCTGATTTGATCTCCAAGAATTTCTGGCTTTTCCCACGAAAAACGGAGAAAAGAACAAGCCAAATGCGTTAGCGTGACGCTAATCCCTTCGACAGCCGATGTCTCCACCAGCTCTACTCCGTTTTTGGATCGAAACGGAAACCTCACGAGATGATTGTTGATTGATACCTGGCAAGGAAAAGGATTGGTTCTCTCTCTTCTCTTCCCTGTTTTCAAGGCCAACTGTCAGTGGCGGTGTCACGATTTCCATATGTCAACTCCCTCGTTGCCATGCATGCTCACACCTGTGTATACGTGTGTCGATTCATCCCAGCTTCCGGCCTTTCTAGAGCGGCATGCCCGCTTTCTATTCAGTCTCCGGCTCCTACAGCGGGTATAATTAACTGTATAAGAATCTGATGTTCTGGTTCTAGAGCGAGTCCCAGAGCTGTTGTTTTCATCCAAGTCTAGTGAGTCTAGTTCTAAAAAGAGTGAGAGAGATGACGGATTCATCCAACGACGCTATGGCTACGGTGGCTAATCAGGCGCCTGTGACCTTGGAGCGACGGGTCCGAGATGACCTGGAGACCAGTCTTCCTAAGCCTTGTAAGCTGTACCTTTTCTGTCTGTGACGTAGTTAATCTGCTTGATTAAATGACAGAGCCATTGATTTAAAACATTGAAACAGATATGGCGAGAGCATTGGCTGCTCCAGATAAGGAGCATCCCGAAGGAACCTTGGGGCACAAGCATAACAGCATGTCTGTTCTACAGCAGCACGCAGCATTCTTTGACCAGGATGGCGATGGCATCATCTACCCATGGGAAACCTATGCTGGTATTTATTCAATTCATTCTCGACCGAATTAATCGTCCATTTTTTTAATCACAATGATACAGAAACAAAGTCTTCTTCTTCTTGTTTACGAGTAAAGCCATGTTCTAGCTTGTGGTCAATTAATTAATTATTTGATTTTGTTTATGTTTGTATGCTGCTGTCAGCTGCAATATTGCCGGTGGATGTTACTGCACGGCAGAATTGAAATTGGATGAGAGGTGTAGGTGTAGTGGGCTATAATTTAAGTACCACCCTACAAACTTAAATTAATAACCTGGTTTCGATGGTAACAAATAACATGGTCCATTAATTAGTCCTAATTAACTCAATAACCAGGCGTCCAGGCCAATTTATCTATTTCTATTTTGTCAGTTAATTAAAAAAAAAGTCAGAGGCGACTTGGTTTTATGGATCATTTGAGAAGTATTTCAAGCTTTTCTAATCTTTGCTTTTCTGATTCTTACTTGGGCGTTGCTGTTTGTTCAAAATTAATAAACCAGAATTTATTACACTAAACTTATTTGCACCCCCTCCTCCAACCTTCACTCATGTATAGTGCTATCACATCATTAAAAAAAAATCTTAAACCAAAATTTACACTCAGCCCATTTGCACTCCCGTGTATTCACATCACTGTAAATGAAGGCAAATGAAATTCGCATCGCAAAAACGCATTCTTATGCATCCATCTCCTTCAATAATTTCATAGCCATCTAGTTAAGGGAGAATCACTCAAAGTCTAGTCCCTGTCTTCTACATATAAATCAACCTCAGTGTCTTTGGCCAAGTACAGTACTCTGTTTACAGTTTACCTTGCTTAATCAAATGAATAATCTGTATGAGTTGCATTCCTTAGCATTTCAAGCCTTTTCTCTATTTTGTTCAATATTTATGACTAAAAGCATCATCTTTTCAGGACTACGTGCTGTTGGTTTTAATGCCATTGCCTCTTTCATCATGGCCATTGTCGTAAATCTGTCCTTGAGTTACAATACTCTGCCTGTAAGCTTCAGGATTTGCCATTCTTAGTTCTTTCTTCTTTTTTTTTTCTTTTATAATTCGGTAAACACAGTAATTGATTCAGATTATATCATCTTTTTGGTGAGGTTTGCTTTATATATTAACAAGTAATCCCACTTGGTTTGGGTTTATTTACAGCATCACAGGGTACTAATTAATCTTGATATGGCTTTGCAGGGTTGGATGCCTTCTTTTCGTTTCCCTATATACATACGCAACATACACAAATCCAAGCATGGAAGTGATTCTGGAGCCTACGACACTGAAGGAAGGTGCAGTCAACATCCTTGGGGTCACATAATAAGATTGATAACAGAGATAAAGTGGCTGAACCGAATTGACTTCAATTGCTTTTTCTTTTGGTGGGGATCTTAGTGCTGAGTATCCATCCCATGCATAGAATCAAAGTTCCCCGTCCATCTCAGGGAATTCAATCTGGTTAATTTTCTTCCACTGGATGTCTATTACAAGTAAATAGTAACATGCTACTTTCAATGAATTGCAGGTTTGTTCCTGCGAATCTCGAGAACATGTTCAGTAAGTACGCTAGGACACACCCAGATAAGTTAACGCTGAGGGAGTTGTGGGACATGACCGAAGCAAATCGGAACGCATTCGATTTTTTTGGATGGTTAGTTTTCATCAATGTTTGCCCAATATTCATCCATAGTTTATACCGATACTACTACGGTCTGACGATGTTTATTGTTTTGTGAGCAGGGTCGCAAGTAAGTTGGAGTGGGGAGTTTTATACGTTCTTGCTAGAGATGATGACGGTTTCCTCACTAAAGAAGCTGCTAGGCGTTGTTTTGATGGTAGTCTATTTGAGTATTGTGCTAAGATACGTAAGGGTGCTGGGGGTAAGATGGGCTAGCTAGCCTGAACTACTGCTTGCTTCGTATTGCATGAACGTAAATATTGTATTTATATAATTCACAAGTTGTCTTCAACTATTGGCCTGTATCCAAAAGTTTATTACTAACTAGCTACCACTACAAGTGTTTTGTATTTGGGTTTCAAATTCAATATATATATGGTTCGTCTTCCTTAATCCATTACTCCTGTTCTTAGTTTAGAACCCAAGCAAGTGATAAGTAATCAAATTTGTGGTTGCTCTAGCTAATAAGAGTAAGACTAATAGCAAGGCAGTCATTTGGCATTTGACATGGAGAGACGTTGAGGGTCTGTTTCTATTGAGTGAGGGTTTCAAACTCGGGATGCTGCTAGACCAGTAGGCAGTAGATCTATTTGAATGCTAGGTATTGAGAAATGTGATAGAAAGCAACGAGAGCCTTTCCATGTGCTAATTGCTATTGACTGGGATATAGCCCGTCCCTTTTGTGAATTGTGATTGCGTCCCCGGGTCCTGGTAAGATGGCTTTCAATTCAGGAACCGCCGAACCGATACTTGAGAGTTGATAGTCAATAAGACCCCTCCTTTGTCGGCATGCTCTAATCGGACAAAATGTGAAATTATTTGATGTGTACCATCCAACGATTGATCAGAGAACACGATGTAAATGTTGAAAGGCCATTGCCCAATATCATCCCAAAATTCTGTATTCTGGAAGAAACTTTGGCTGTTTCAAAACAATTTCTTTTTGTCCTTTAGTGAAAAGAGTATTGGGGCAAATGTTCTTAGTTTTAGGGAAATTTGTAGAGTAGTGGTTAAGTTTTCAAAACGTACTTAATGTAGAGTATCTACCGTTAAATCAGTGCCACTTAAAATGGCGAAGTTGCCTTTCCTCTCCCTCTCTCTCCTTGACTGGTTCTGTTTTACCCAGAATTCTTATTTTCCTAAAGACCCGATGAACCAACCATTTAATTGTTTGGTCGGTTTTTTTTTTTAATTTTTTATTTTTTTGTCAGTAATAGGCCATTCGTTCGGTTCAAACAGTTAAATCATTCGACCTGGGAATTGGATCTTTAAACATTGTGCATTGTGGTTTTAAAAATCTTGAATAAAGGAAAATTCGGTGGCGAGGGTAGAGGTGTAAAGTGGGCTGTGCTGGGTTGGTACGATACAGTTTGCAGGTGGCAAAGTGCGGGTTGTGTTATGTTGGTCCGTAAGTTGTTACGGGCTGTGCCGCCCTTTCTAATGAAAATTTTGTTGGTCTGTTGTGCCGCCCTTTCCAATGAAAATTTTGGAGGTTCCACGGTTTAGGCTCGTGCTGTGCGGTGCCATGTCGTGAGTCAGGCTGGTTCATGGGTTGAACCTTAGGTCAGGTAGGCCATGTATCGGGCCAAAGCTATTTATCTAAAAAAATTGATAAAAAATTTAAAATTTTAATTTTATATGAATTGATAAAAAATATATTGTATACTATATTGTATACTATATAGTATACAATATAAATAATATATTATAAATAATATACTATATTGATAAAAAATTTAAAATTTAAAATTTTATTAATATATTGTATACTATATATTATTAAATATATATAAATAATATATGTGGGTTGTGTTGGATCGGGTTGTGGGTTGAGTCATGTTGGCCACGGATCCATGGGCAGTATGGTCTGTTTGGTCGTGTCGTGTCATATTGGCCCGTGAACCTAAAACCTCAGGCTCAATATAGCTCGCATAAACGTATTGAGCCTGTCACAGCCTACAGACTATCATGCCAGGCCGGTTTAAGTTTGTATCGGGCCACAGACAACAAGATAAGGGAGGAATTAGGAAGTAGTAGTGGGGGACTCTGGATCTTCTGCCCACAGGAACTCTGCTTACGAAGATAAACTTGTTAGTTGTTGCTATCGATAAGGATGGATTTACATTCGAATTGGATGAGCTTTTGAGAGTGTTGGCGTATGTATTCGGGAAGGGAATTGTGTACAAGGTAGTGGTGAATGATAGAGTTTCGGTGGTGGTGAGGGGACCGGGTGGAGGTGGAAGACAGGTGTATCAAAAAGAATTTGCACGTGAGGAGATCGGTGAAGGTTAAAGAGGTATAAAGAATTTGCAGCGAAGATATAGGCGATCGGACGGGTTAAGCAGCCCAATATTGTAAGGTTGAGGGCTTATTACTCGGCTACTCATGAAAAGCTTCTTATCGCTTTCTATTGAGTTCGAAGATTAATGTATCGATACAATACTCCCAAGTCTCAATATGGGGTGTATTGTATCCGTATCCATGGATATAGACGATTGGATACGTATTGTTCGGGTCATGGTAGAGTGGGCTTTGGATGCCACATTGGCCGTTTAATCACCTCGGCCACGTCAGTGCTACTCTACCATCTTCGTGGCATACATCGACTCTGCGGCTACGACAATACTGTACTACTTTCACGGTTCCCACCTTATCCTCCCAGCCATGTCAACTTCACGTTATGCCGATAAGCATGACCGAGAATAGGAGTGGATGGGGATAACTCCACTGGGGATTAGGACTCATCCCAACAACCTCGGAAGCTTAATCCGAATAGGACACAGACCATCAGCTATAAAAAGGTATCTCTCACTCAAGGTAAGGGATCCGACTTCTAGCTCATACCGTTATACTGCTCGGATCAGCACTGCTCTCCAACTACTCGACCCAACTGCCTATTGTCCTCTACTGACTTGCGCATCGGAGTATCTACCCGGGGATAACTCATCGGGCCTTTGACATCTCCTTGTTATCAGATCTCATTGCGCAGCTTCAACCTTCCACCTCGGCTTCACCCTGTAGGTGAGGGTTATCTAACTGTGACCTCGGTTCTTACACCACCTAGGATTGAGCAGCATCACGTATCATATTTTATGAGTCGTGCGTACCARTACCACACGCCTCCATATCCACCGATACACATTGATATGGAGGTGTATTCGTGTCTAGTTTGACAAAATTGTACATTGAGTACTTTTGGATTGTTTTTCATCTTTAATACAAATTAAAAAATAGTATTATGAAAACTGAAATAAATAATTTAAGATTTATTTTTTCTAAAAAAATAATAAAAACTAAAAATATAAAAAGAATATATTTCATCCACCTTAGATGATTTATATATTTTATTTTACACATAATTATATGTTAAAAATGAAAACATAGTTATTATTTGAAAAACTAAAGTTATTATATAAAAATACTAAATAAATAAATTTTCCAACAAAATTAATGGAAAATAAAAAATGATAATTATAAAGACTGAAATGAATAATTTAAGATTTAATTTTCCCAAAAAATGTAATAAAAACTGAAAATTAAATATAATTTATTTTATCTACCTTAAATGATTTATTTGTTTTATTTTAAAATTATGTGTAAAATAAAAACATTATATATTAAAAATGAAAACATATTTATTATTTAGAAAATAATTGCTATTTAAATAAAATACTAAATTAATAAATATTCCCTAAAATTAATAAAAAATAAAAGTTATAACTACAAAATTGAAAGAGTGATAATAATTGTACAATGTTTCAATGTTCTAGAGTCCCAGTATTGTTTATTGTAATTTTTCTCTTCATATAACCTATTGAAGTATGCATTTCTCATGTATTTATATCTTATTCATAGATAATTCAACTTTTGGCTTACTATGATTAATGTATTTGTGTCATTTGTATTCATTTCACTAGCGCATCCAAACGTTTATATATCTTTCATTCGTATCCATGCATTTTTAAAGTGTATTCGTATCCGTATCTGATTTATCCAATATGATACCCGATACCGATACTTTGATGCTTGATTGAGTCGTTAAATTATGTCAAGAATAATTCTTTACTAATGTTTTTTTTCACAACTAGTACAACTCAAACCACCCAATGAAACCAGCTTTTAATCGATGGTTTTTGGATTGGATGGATCCCATTTCCACCTCTTTTTCTATGTTTTTTTATGTTGATGTCATTTTCGGGGTTTCTATGATTTGATTTTGTTGCTAGATTTATAAAGGTTGTTTGGTTTACTGTTGGAATTAGCATTAAAATCGAAATCTTTTGAAATTGGAATCGAATGGTCTAATCTATAGTTTGTTTGATTTAGACTGGAATTGGAATGTGAATTGAAATCAATTGGAATGAGATTCCGTTCCAAAGGAGGGGATACTACAAGAAAAATGATCAGCGGTCTTAAGGACCGCCGCTATAGAGATAGTTGAGCCGCCTAGAAAACTAAAACAAAGAAAATAAATATCTGGGCGGCGGTTTTTGAAAACAGACACGATGCTTTTTCATTTGAACTGGACTTAAGCCGGTCTAAATAGTTGGCTCTTGCATTTGAGAGAGGGAGGGAGAGATAAAGCAAAACGCCAAAAACACTCCCACCTCTTTCTACTTCGTGCATTCGATTGAGAAAAACTCTAACGAAGAAGGAAAAGGTAAAGCTTCTTCTTCTTCTTCTTTGTGGTTGATTCAGTTGTGTTTTCTCCCATTCTAGGGCATCAATGAATGAAATTGAAAATTGTTTTCTTTAGGACTTGATTGAAGGCGTCATTCATGCAAGCTCTGAACCATTTATTGCCTCTGAAGGGTTCGACCTTCTCCCCTCTAGCTAGGATTTCTACAAGGAACTGGTTGATTAAGAAACCCAACTGAATGAGTTGTTCATCTGTGTGGTCTAGGATCTAGCCTCCCTTATCTAGTGCCTGAACTACCTTGAATCATCGAAAGATTTGAGCATCTGCTCTATGACCACATAAGAGTCTCCCTCAACCTTGATTCTTTTTTCCAGTAACCCTTAGGCTATGTTTGGTTTGAAGGAAAAGGTAGGGAAAGGAAGGGAAAGGTAGGGAAACCTTTAAACCTTTCCCTTCCTTTCCTTGTGTTTTTCTTTAAACCAAACATAGCCTTAGGTTTTCTGTTTTGAGGAAACCAGTTTTTGGTCTTTAATCTTTGGCTCTAAGCACTGAAGGCTATTCTGTTTTTCTCTATTTACTTCACTTGCATAAAAAATGTATGAGTGAATCAATCAATTGATCAGCAAAATTATACTACAACAAAATCTGGTGTTGAACCATCAGATCATGTAGAACTTGCAAAACATGTTAAGCTTGGTTGCCTAAATCTCGAATTTTCAGGCCTAATGATAATAGTTAGGAATGCCGGATTACACATCAACACCAGAAAACTTTAGGGTAATAATTTTGGAATATGCATTTTACTCAGTTTTAATGCTTTATTGATATTTTAATTTCGTTTGTCAAATTGCTTGTTTATGTCGTGGTGAGACAGGCATTGTCAAACTATAGGATTGAGGTATGCAAAGTACTTGGAATAGTAGAGGAGCAATGCGAGTTGTCAATGGAAATGTCTGGTGACTTAGAGCAAGTAGTAAGGAATATAACTTTTAATTTTGAAACTTAAATACCAACCAGTGATTATAACTTTTGATTTCCAACCACTTTGTCAAACTTAAAGGAATATATTAATTAAAACTTAAAACATGAAATTGAAAGTAGATACTATCCTTACAGATTAGTTGCAATAAGTCTTGCCTTTTCAATATTATCATAATGTGATCTTTTGCTTACAAAGAGAAAGCACCAAAGTATGAAATCCAAGATGTATAAAAAGAGTATATGGATAAATTGTTAACTAGTCTCTGTCAGTCTCTCTTTACCATTTAATTTCCCATGGACTGTATGCTTGTATCATGAACATTATCCTTGATATTAGTAAAGCTTATCCTATTTGATCAGGGGGAAAAGGTTCGGTAGTATAACATACTTTACTAGCTTCCTGAGGATTTTGATCCTCATTGAGTTAGATTGTTTCAATGAAAGCACTTTTGTCAATTGTACCTGAAGAAACAACAATAAGATTAATTTTTGTCGAGCACTTGTAAAAATAGAACTATTTGAACAAGAGCTATCAGCCATGAAATATGTTTGAGATTGGGGCTTGGTGTTTGCTGGTCTCCACTGATGGTATATGGAATGTGGGTCTAGGTGCTATTAGAGTTGAAAATTGTTGAGTCTTCTAGTGTGTATCATGGACATGTGGTTTGGTTCGACGCTGATGCTATTTTAACTGTATGGTTGTTTCAATGAGTATCAGTCAAGGGCTAAGGATTAGAACTTTTTATCTCTTTTGCAAATTGAAATGGGAAGTACCAATGTGAGAATATGATCAACCATATTTGGACCATGGGAGTAGCCAAAGAAACAGGCAAACTAAGCATGTTAGAAGTCTGATGCTCATCCCCAAAGAGTGATTTTGTACCTATTTAGAAGTCTAAGCATGGTGATTTTGCACCTAATTTATTTTAGACAAACTGGTGGAAAATGATTTAAACACAGGGTCCCTTTCATTGATGTAGCTAACAATGGGTATGATATTAAACAAATTGGAATGGCGAAGTGGGATTTATGAAGCTGACTCATATAGTTGGGGCAAGGCTTAGATGATAATAATAAACTAATGGAAAATATTTCTAAAATGAACATTGTACATTTGTTGACCTGATGTAGAATCTATTGGACCAAAATCCAACTTGATTAATTGGATCACCTCTAACCATCAAATTGATGGATGATTTCCAAAGAATTTCATCCTAGTTTTGTAACCATTTAGAAAAGATTCAATAACATTATTATTTAATCTAATTGACTTTTTTTGGTGTAAAATTGCCTAATATATAATCTAAACAACTAAATGTTTAATATCAGTAAAAACCTAAGATCGCCACCCATTCACCTTACACATAAGGCAAGAAAAAGACTTAAAAGAATTTTATAAACATATGAACAGGGAAAGGTTACAACATTGTGATCTGTTTTGTGTTCTACATCTATCTATATTTATTTATATTCTACATTTATCGTTCTAATTTTATTTTCTTTATTTTTTTGCTAGGGGAAACAGGATACTTTCTTTTATTGATAAACAACAAAGTGTTTGAATAGGGACAAGTTTACAATTTTAGCCATTCTATATTCTTCTATACTTATTTATATTTACTCTAGCAATACAAACCATTCAACTTTTTCACTATTAATTTTATCAATCTATTAATTAGACAATTTTCATTTTACCCCAAAATTCCATTAAGTGAAATATATTTTTAAAAGTAGGATATTTAGTCCTGTGCTCCCTCGAAGTCTGTATTCCTTGTTTGGACTATAGTGCTGAACAAATGTCTTTCAAGACTCAACCTGGATAGAAGGGGCATTCAGCTCCCTTCTCTGATGTGTGGGTTGTGTGCCTTGTTGCCTAAGTCCATTGACCATCTGTGCTTACATTGTCCTATCTCCTCAAAAGTCTAGTACCATTTCATTGGAGCGGTTGGTCTTAATTGGGTTATGCCAAAGTCAGTTAAAGATCTGTTGCTTTGCTAGAATCTCCCAGGTTTAAAGAAAAAGGTAGTTTAATTTGGAGAATTGTTCTTGCGGCAGTGATGTGGGCAGTTTGGTCTGAAAGGAATAAAAGAATCTTCAGCAACAAGGTTAAGAGCACGGAGGAGATAGTACAACAAGCTGATTTCTTGGGTGGCTATTACACCTGATTTTAAAGAGCTAAATGTTCCTGTATTAGTTAAGTCTACTTCGATTTGGGATTTGTAACTTGTGGCTGGCTCTTTTGTTGTACTGAGTTATTTGCTGATTCAATAAAATTATTACTTTACCTTTCAAAAAAAAAAAAACAGAGAATAGTCTAGGATCTATACCTATATTCCTTGTGCTTGGTGAGTTTGTGTATACCAATCATATATTTTTCCCTTCTATTATTTGATTTTTTGCTTTTGTAATTATTTGAAATTTTATTTTAATTAGATACCATTGGTATATAATACAAATCAACACATGAACAAAAGTTGCCTATTAGTATAGTTTCTTGCATGAATATTCTCAAAACAATGTTTATGATCTAAAGAAATGTTAGTTATAATAGCACAAAGAAGTGTTTATAATCAACACATCCCACTTTAGCTTATGGAGTCCAATTCAAAGTCTATAGTGCTGCTGGTAAGTAATGCTTCCATGACTAAAATACAATCACCATTTTATCTTGGTTCTTGGGAGAGAGGTCATCTGTGCAGGGTCCCTTTCATCCAATCCCAAAGCATTCCTCGTTTCGAGGCTCCAAAGATGTGAGGAAAAAAAAAGGAACTAATCTATTTCCTTATCAAAATTATAGAATAAACAAACATGGCTAAGATGGTTTTGTAGTTTTAATGTATTTTTATATTTAGTAATTACTAGCTGTTATTCTGCTCTTAGATTTTGACTTCTAAACTTCAGTAAAGACGCTTATCTAGACTATAGAGAGTTAAAATAGAATTATAGAATATATCTATACCTACATCCCATCTATTTGTGAAATGGTTGCTTTGCTAGTTTAACCATTTCAGTGAATGGACCACCTTTCAATGTTACACCTTTGGTTTTGTTCGGAGACATATATTAGTTGTCATGGTCCCCAATCCACTAATAAAATAATAGAAAATGTGAATGAAAAGGACTAGGACATTGTGGAACCATGCATTAATAATTTATTTTACTTAATTTGTTCGTTTGGCTGCTCTTAGTTGATAAGTTTGATGTTTGTTCATTTTTACCAATTTTCTTCTCTACTTTCTCTCTTCATTTTAGTTTGCAGGTCTGTATCTGAGTGATTACTTGATCCCAGATGGACTGAATAATCCTAGGAAACACTCAATAGTCCTATTGAGTGGGCATTGCCTAGAATTAAACTTTGATATTTATTTCTTCTATGTCTGAGTCCTTTAAGGGGAGGGGGATAACCTAGGCCTAAGATCCATCTTTTGACAGGAACTGTGGCCATCTGGTTCAGTGGATTGAGTGGGCATTTTCGTCAATGCAACTATGATAAGGACAACAAATTAGAGAAACTTCTAGGGGTATTTGCCAATGTGCATGCTGCCATGTCAACAAATCAGCCACTTCTTTTCAAACAAAATCATGCATATTGGTGAATATCCCCATAGTTAATTGAAGTGGCTCTAATGTGCCACATTTAAACAATATTTTGGCCCAATTCCTTTTGTTTCTCTGGTTAAAAAGGAGGAATTTCTATATGTATGTATAAAATTTCTCTTAGATTTATGGTTTCTACAATGCATAAGTTATTTATTCTTCCTTATAAAGTATGCCTTCTAAAGATGATTTCTTTTCATCTGCTCCAGCTTACATAACTGGTAGAAAAATGCAAGTAAAATGTCAGTATCATGGTCTCGGAGAACTAGGACTTATATTACAGATCTAGAACTGATGAAGGAGATTTTGTTATACAAGTTTGAACACTTTGAGAGGTCCAAACCAAATCCTCTTGCAAGGTTGTTAGCAGGTGGACTTGTAAGCTATGAGGGAAAAAAATGGGTTAAGCATAGAAGGATCATCAACCCCGCTTTCCATCTAGAAAATCTAAAGGTTGTTTTCTATTCTCTAACCTGTTTAAATGCAGCTATGAATTCATACATTTTCTTAAAAGGAAAAGGAAGGGATACACCATAGACAGTTGAGTGTTTTAGAAGGATAGTAGGATAGTAGGTGGTTATAGCACACTGACAACAAAGGCAAAGACCAATTCAAGCTTGGAGTAATGCAAAAAATGTTTTGATAAAATTTAACTTCGATAGTTGTGCTTAGACAACTCGGGGCTGGGGCAATCAAGGTAGTTGTGTTTGCAAGAATCTTCTTTTTGTCATTCCACTTTGTCTTAACTAAAAACTGAATTTCTATTCACGGACTGGTACTACTAGTTAAATGATGATTTGCACAACATTCTTCCAATTGCTTATTGATAATGTTTGTATTGAAACGAATCATGAACTAATGTGACTATGAAAAAGAAAATCATGAACTATCATGTTAGCAAACAACAAAGTTATTCAAAGCTTATGTTGAAACAACATTGGACTTCTTTGGAATCCTAAACTCTACATCTCTTGTTATAAAAAATGTCATGTCATTTTTGTCTTTGTAGTTAAAATACTTCAATATAAATTCTAATATTCATATATTATGATTTGCAGGTTTAACCATTATGTTAAGTGGATTTGCATTGGAAGATATACTGCAATATTCAACAATGATTTGCATTGGAAGATGTGCTACAATATTCAACAATGCTTAGCATTGGAAGATGTGCTATACTATTCAACAAATTGATTTTTTAAAGTCCTTGTATTTTTTATATGTCAATTGGGTATTGTATTTGAACAATTTGTATTGGATATTATAAAAATTAATTTTAAATTCATAGATTTTTTTAAATTACATTTTTTCAGTGATTTAAAATGCGTGCCTAAGCGCATAGGCGAGGCACATTTTAGGGTATGCGCCTCGCCTAGGTTCTAGGTGCAGCCCTTTCAACTGATGCGCCTTGCGCCTCAACCCAGGCATGCGCCTTTTGAAAAATTATCGCTTTTTTGCTTTTTTTGAACATAGCGGCTGGGCCGGGCGCCCCTAGACCCCTGTGCCACACCCCTCAAAGCAAGCCCAAACAAATCCATGTTAGGTGTTCAATTCTTAGTTTTCACACAAAAAATAATGAATTTATAATTTTCATTGCCTTTTAAGAAAATATTTTATTACAATGAATGAATGAACAACATTAGCAAATATCAATAACTTTCATAAGCGATGTTTGACACAACCCAAGGCGGCGTTCACATGGAACCTAAGCCAGCAGTTCAGACTGCCACCTAAAAGTGTGAATAATGTTTGGCACAACCTAAGATGGCGGTCGAAAACTGCTGCCTTTATTCATGCTAAGTCGGCGGTTCTGACTGACCACCACTTTAGCGCATTTTGAACCATCTTAGACCGGCCATCAAAGGCAACAATCTTTTTCAGCTGAACTGGCGGCCTTGACCTAGGCCGACAGTGGATTAGGGGGCGGGTGCTGGACCGCCGCCTTAGATCTATGGTGGCAGTTTGAAGGCCTAAGCCGGTAGTCACCATTTTTCTTATAGTGGGACATTCCCTCAAAAAAGGGTAATGCCATTCTAACAGGAATGAGAATGGGATTCCGATTTTAGACCATTATTCCCATATACCGTTTGGAAGGAGTACAAATACAAATATATACAGTGCAAATATACGCAAAATAATACAAAATACAAGGTTTTGCACTCTACATCTGTACTCCTTCCAAACTGTTAATGGATAGCATTTATGAATCTTGATTTGTATTTTTCATATCAAAAGGAACCTCTGCTTTCTTTCCATATTTGGCGGATTATTTAGTGATGCAATCTAAAATCCAAAGCTTTCTTTTCCATCTCTTGTCTTCATCTGTGTTAACTTCTTTTCCATGTTACAACTTACAAATCGTTCTACAGCTCTGACAAATTCTTTCTTATTCTCATTTGCTGACAAAACTCTTTCTTATTTGGTGGCTATGTTATATGTATGCTACTGCAACACTTGGTCTCGCAGGTGATAAAACCAAAATGAGTATTTGGACAGTTTTCCGGCAACATTTCTTTTTCCAGTATCATCTTCCTCGTATTAAAACCAGTATGAAGAACTGGTTAATTAAAAAAAATTAGATAACAGCTGAAAGGTTTAATGATTGGTTAAGGTAGGTATTAATTTGGCAGGTTTTAAAAGTTTAAGTACTGTATTAATATAGTTCGGAGAGTGAAACTAGGCCCAAAGATCAGGGTACAACTTTCCCTTAATTTTATACTACACCTATGGGTTGGGTTTGATTGGATCGACGTGAACTCAGATCGGACCTACCACCATACCATCAACCTGTCATATCCCGTTTAAATTTATATGGGATTCTATGTATATACTCTATGTTTGTAAGGCCCTGTTTTATTCTAACCAAATACAAATTTTGCATCTGCTTCAATCTTGCATCTGTTTTGCAACACTTGTACCAGAAACAAAATTTATACCTATTTTTTGTTTTATTTGAGTTGCCTGCTAGCAATAGAAAGAGAAAGAAAGATAAAATAAAATCATTCATGAAATAAAATAACAGATCGAAAGAGATGACATAAGAGTTGGAACGACCACGTTGCAATGCGTTCCCTTATCTCATATTCTCAGCTATACTACGTTAATAAGTAGTAGAACTCTTCCTGACCGTAGGCTGGTTGAATGACAGAGTAGGGTGTCTCAGGCAACGTAGTACAAGGAGTTGGGAAGCTTGAATGTTCTCTTGGCGGTAGGGAGTCCCTTGAGGCTACTCCATTGATCTGCAACAATTCCCCAAATGCGATATCCCTTATCGATCAACTGTTTCCGTTTCTCAGCTTTGTATTTCTGTACTTCCTGGCATCCATCCTCAGGAACCCTACATCACTCACTCGTATTACTTCAATGATGCATAGCTAGCCACTCTAGTCTAGAGAGAAAGAGAGATGTAAACAAGAGACTACAAACCTTAGTATAAGCTCAGTCCATCCAGAGTATCCAACCTTGAGAAGATTGTCAACAGTGGCTTCTCTAAGATGTTCCCTTCTTGAAGAAATCAAAAAGATCTTAAGTCCTCTGCCTTTGATTTCATTATATAGGTTGAGTGTGTGTTCAAGGGCTGGGGCCTTGCACTGTTTTAACCATCCCTCTAACGAGCTCAGGTTCAACTTGTCTCCCCTGTTCTCTCAAACAAATAACCCAATTCAGTACTCAGTAATATAAACAAATGAAAAGGTAATAGAATTTTATTGTAGTACCTGAGGTGCATGAGTTGCAACATCTGGGCCCATTTAGGAGACACCTTAACCCTTTAAGGATTAAGGACCCAGGTGGATGATTTTATTCTAGGCTTCTCACAACCTAAATATCATGGTTTTCAAAACTGGATCGGACCAGACAGTCGGACTAAAAAAACTGAAAACCAGTCAGGTGATCAATTCTATTTTATCTCAGAACTGTTATTTCACAAAAAATTATTGATTTGGTCAGCAGCGGGCATTCAAACCGTCCAATGGTTTTAGTGATTTTTAATTTAAAAAAAAATAATAATTTTTTTATTTTGTCAGAACCAGACCACTGACCGGTTCATTATCTTAAAACCTTGCTAAATAGATTGGATTCTCTTTATGACAGATCTCATTGATAGGATTACTGAACTGGGCCTGCGAAGTTGGGTGGGTTAGAATACCAAGAAAGAATTTGGCTGCATTTGGATTGTGGTGAAAGTCTCAGGTCATTTATTTATACACCCCTATATAATTTGCAACTGCTTTACTTAATCGACCTTCTATTAATAAGTATTTGTGTTTCTATATAAAATGGCCATGTGACTTCTTAAAACGAGTGGAAAATGTGAAATTCTGTAAATTCCTGTAATGGTTATATACTTGTATTATCAACCTTTTAGTAAACAAGCCATCCACCGGGGTTTGGGTTAGACCTCTCTGAATCAAAATCAATTTAAACAGATTGAATGGATTGGGCCTGATTTATATATAATAGATTTATATTGGATCGGGTCAGGTTGAACCAATATTTGGTCCATTGATAGAAGATAAAAGTATAAGTGTCAATGGAGCAGATTTGGATTGTATCCAATTTAAATTAAAACCAATTTAAACAGAATAAAACGGTCTAGACATAGAATTGAATCATTTTAGAATAATCCAAAGCATTCATTGAATTGGATTGGAGTTAGTAGCTAGTCCATCAGTAATTGGACTCATATTCGATTAGATCGGGTATTGACTCGTATTGGATTGGATTAGATCGGGTTAAATCAATATCCAGTCCATTAATAGTCCTATTTTGGAGTAAAATACTCTGGACCGTATTCTTTCACATTTTCACTCGTTTTTAAGAGGTTACCCTACCAATACCATTCCAGACAAAAATGCACATGGTTTATAATAAAAGATCTATAGGGGTGTAGGGTGTTTTTCTAAAACACAAATTAGAGGGTAGATTTTAATAAATACATCAATATAAGCCCTGTCTAAATACAGGACCCAAATATCTGCTCTGGTTTTGCAAAAGGAAAAAAGGAAAAATAAAACGAGGAGATGAGCAGATTTTTAGCCACGTTTATGGAAAACGAAATCATTTCCAGAATGCATGCACGGAATCGTGGAATAGTGCCGATTTTCCACTTCCACCCCACAACCCAAATAGGCAAATACAGCCAAGCTTTCTGTTATTTTTCAGACTGCCATCAAGATCATCCTTTAATGGCTAAAGTGCGATAGATCTAAATGGGATCTGTGTAATCGGATTAGATCACTATAAGCCATTGACTTTCTCTGTCTCTATCTCTCCCTCACCGTCTACAGACAAACAGACACACAGGATCTGAACACTGAAGGGAATTAAAGAGGGAGACTTGACACAATGATACTTACCCAAAATGATGCTGCTTGTAGTAAGGAACAGTCGAAAGGAGTGTGTCATCTATGTCAAAGATCCACGCATCTTTCCCATCACCGGCCCAAGCAAAGCTACTGCTGAGATACAGAGTGCATTGCTCGAGTGCCCTCTCAGAATCCACCTGGTACTGAGACGAGGTCATGTATTTTCCAATGTAGTCGACGCATTCATCAGGAACGACGTCGAACTCCCGGATGTTGTTGAGTTCGACATTGATTCTCCAGCTCTCACAGTAGTTCTTCAGAGAAATCTTCAAGTTCAAGCCATTGCTCCATCCTCTCTGTTTCAAAATGTTCCAGTCTGCAACTGCTAAACCAACTAGTAGGCTGAATAAGACTAGCAAGAGTGCCGGATTTCTCCCCATCTTTCTTCGTTGCTGGGGTTGGAGAATGTGAGACAGTATCACAGTGAAAGATGATTTCGGTTTCAGTGGCTTTTGAAGAGGGTGGCCGAGAAAAATCAAACTGGGTCACATCTCACATGGGCGGTGGTCAGTGGCTGTGGGGTACCTCTGTCACATCCTGCCCTGAGTCACATGGTGACATGGTGGTTTTCCATCAGAAAGAAAGAAACTTTGGATGATGCCCGTGATAAGAGGTGGGACTGAGGAACCAACCCACAGCAGCACAAAGTTTTTCTGGGATTATAGGAGTTAATACGTTTAAAATTTTTGATCCCACATCAGAAAATGCTCCAGAGTTCATCTTAATTAGTTTGTAGGAACATGGCTGATTAGCACTCTTTTGGACGTTGGATTGGAACAATAAGGGAAGCGATGCCCAAAAGAAATACAGGGTGGGGTGGATATGAAATGGACGGCAAGAGGATGCCATGGTGCTGCTATGTTATGGTGAATCCATCTCATGGAACCATAATCAATCAATCATTTTTTTTTTCTATTGGCCTTGTGGGAATAGGCTTTGGTAAGTTGGTATCACGAAATCAGGATATCCAATTAATGAATTACAAGAAAGATGCAGTAGGCCCATGTTTGGAGACTTCCTAAAGCTCATGCTAAGTGGACCCTACTAATTGCACTATACATATATTATAGCATTATTGTTTGATCTTTGTGAATTGTTATAAAAAAGTCTTAGATCTTAATGAAACTAGCTAGGGATGTAGACCAAGAAGGAGAAATTAAATAGTCTTGTAGGCTTAAAGTGAATGAATTTTGCACTATAGTGGCTGTATATTTTGATCATTCGTACAGACAGGTTAGATTTCAATAATGCACAACACTTGGGTGCTGGCTGGCTTGTGATAAATATGTGAGTTTTTTGTCGGGTTGGCAATAAATATTGGTGTAGTGGGGTGCATGATATTTATATTTTTTAAATTTTAGGGTAGATTGTTAAAACCTTCCCTGAAGATTCTTACCATGACTGAAATTCCCCTGAAGTTTGATAATTACAATTACTTCCCCTTTTATTAGAATCTATTAATTAAGAGGCTGGTTTTTATAGAAAAATAATAACAATAAAAAAGGTGATGAGGGGTAATTTGGTATGACTTGTTAGCATGTGGACACGTGGTACAACCTGATGATTGGATGATAACTTTGTACTTTTGGCCACCTCAGCAGGTCGGGTCACCTCGGGCATCTCGGGTACCTCGGCAAGGAGTGAGGTCCGAGTAGTTCGCGGTGTCTCGACCTACCAAGTTGCCACATAGCCCACTCCTAGAAGTTAGTCAGTTGTTTCTAACCTTTCTGGGATTACATCGTACATTTGCGAGCCTTATCCTTATCCCGCCCAGATCAGACGAACTCGATAAGCCTTATAGGCTCACATGAAGTTTATCTCCAGGTGCGAAACTGACTCCAGATAATGTGGGTCGGGGGTCTCGAATGTGTTCCGTGAGGCCTATGGTAGTTCGCCTATGTAAGGGCATCACCGATAACCTTACAAGGTACGTGCAATTTAGCTCTCTAGCTCTCTCACTCACAAACTCTCAAGCTCGCAATTACTCTTCGCTAACTTAAGCATCGGAGTGCCCACACCGGGTAAAGCACCCTAGGTCCTCTGATAGTGTTTTCTTGCAGTTCAACCGACCATATAAGCAGACCGACATCCGAGCTACCATCCAGTAGAGAGCGACCAGATCATGCACCATCAAAAAGAGTGTAAAGGTATAATTTTACCTTTGAGCAATTTATATGAATGACAATTTTGAAAAATAAATCAATTTCAGAAAAAAAAAATTGAGGGTTTTGAGCATTTATGTAAAGAAAAAAAATTGAAAAATAAACATTTAGATGAAAAATATCTACGTGAGTATTTTGGAATTTTCCATGCATCTTTTTTAGAGGATTTAACTTCAACTATGTCACAAAGATTATGAAAGGTGATTGCAGTTATCAAACTTTGGGGGGAGATTTTAACAATAAATAGAAGCTTGAGGGAGCTTTTAACAATTTACCCTTAATCTTATTATGTTAATATGCTCGACAATATATGATTACAAGTTTACATCGCGTGGTGGTGGGTGGGGTCGCAATAATATGTTTGAATTGAATTGCTCAAGATTTGAATTAGATGACCATTGTTGTTTCCAAGTTGTTGCAGGGCTAGAGGTGTCAACTGGATTGGATTTAGTCCAATATGAATCCATTATAAATGGATTATGTTCAATCCAATCTAATGAATATTTTGGATCATTTTGCATCGGTTTAATTCAATGCCTGGACTGTTCAATATGTTCAAATTTATTTTAATTTATATTGGTTTCAATCCATATCTTGTCCATTAACACTAGACCTGTTCATGGGCCGGGTGGCTCGACGGGCCGGCCCGGCCCAGCCCGACCCCCGGACGGGCTTGAACAGGTATATAGGCCCGTGGGCTTAACCTCGGGCCAAAAATCCCAGCCCGCAATAAATTCGAGCTGGGCTCGGGATTTGTCAAAATAGCCTAGCCCGAGCCCAACCCGGCCTGACCTATAACTAAACCTAAAAACCCTAGTTGAATATCCCTCTTTTTTTCACCTCTTTCCCTTCTTTTTCCAACCGAATTCTTCTTCTCCACATCCTCTTTCCCTTCTTTATAT